TCATATTTCCCTTCCTTTCCCGTCTCATCCTATCGCCCTCCCTCCCTTTTCTTTCCCTTCCCGTCCCTTCCCCGTGTCTCCATTTCGCTTTCTTTCCCTTTCTTTCCCTTCCCTCCCTTTCTCGTTCCTCCCCATCCCCGCCCTTCTCTCCCTTCCCTGTCCCTCCCCTTCACTACCCTTCCCTTCCCCTTTCTTTCCCTCCCCTTCCCCTTTCTTTCACTTCCCTCCCTTTCTTTCCTTTCCCCTTTCTTTTCCTTCCCTCCCCTTCCCCTTCCCCTTCCCTCCCTCCCCTTCCCCTTTCTTTCCCTTCCCTCCCCTTCCCCTTCCCCTTCTCCTTCCCCTTCCCCTTCCCCTTTCTTTCCCTTCCCTCCATTTATTTCCCTTCCCTCCCTTTCTCGTTCCTCCCCTTCCCTCCCTGCCACGTGGACTGGACAGGCGGGGGGGGGGGGGGGGTGATTTCCATTTCGTTTGATCATTACATTCAAGTGGATCTCTCAGGCCGGCCCCACGCACGCCATCTCGCCACCTCACCCCCCTCACCGCTTCGCCATCCCGTCACTCTCTACCACCTCGCCCCCCTCACCGCAATGGCACCTCCCCACCTCACCCCCTCTCACCGCAATGGCACCTCCCCACCTCACCCCCCTCATCGCAATGGCACCTCATCCCCCCCCCCCTCCTATCACTTTTCCACGAAGATACTTCACCACCTCATCACTTGTCTCATCATTTCGTTACTTTATCGTTCCACCGTCTCGCTACTTTACCACCCCGTCACTATCCTATCGCTTGGCCGAAATCTCATCTCTCTGTCCTATCACTTAACAAAAATCCCATCTCACTATCCTATCGCTTGACCGAAATCCTATCTCACTATCCTATCACTTAACAAAAATCCCATCTCACTATCCTATCACTTAGCCAAAATTCCATCTTACTATTCTATCACTTGACCGAAATCTCGTCTCACTATCCTATCACTTGACCGAAATCCTATCTCACTATCCTATCACTTAACAAAAATATCATCTCACCATCCTATCACTTGACCACAAAGACACTTCACCATCTCGTCATTTCCCTGCCTCATCACCTCACGACGTCAGCACGACACTTCATTGAAACGCCAGTTCAAGACGCCATCACTACATCTCACCACACCAGCTGATTAACCCCCCACCCCCCACCCCACCCCACCCCATCATACGCCGCCGCACCACACTTCTCTCGTAACTCGCCCCCCCCCCCCCCCCCTCCCGCTCGACGTCACTGTAATTCACCACACCAGCTCACCACGTCACCACATCAATACGCTTCACTAGGCTAGTTCACTGTACTTTGATTGGCGGAGGAGGAAGGAAGGAATGAGTTCTGATTGGCGGAGGGGAGAGGGAGGGAAGAGTTCTGATTGGTGGAAAGAAATTGACGAGCTCTTATTGGCGAAGGGGAGAGGAAAGGAGGATTGTGATTGGCGGAAGGGAGAGGAAGGGACGAGTTGTGATTGGCGGAAAGGAAAGGATGGGACAAGTTCTGATTGGCGGTGGGGAGTCGATGGGAACAGTTCTGATTGGTGGAAAGGAAAGGAATTGACGAGTTCTTATTGGCGGAGGGGAAAGGAAGGGACAAGTTCTGATTGGCGGAGGGGAGTCGATGGGAAGAGAGCACTGATTAAAAAAAAGATAAGCGGAAGATTTTTTTTTTTTAAGATAACAGGAAATGAAAGAATCGGATTGACAAAGAGGAAAAAATAAGAGATCCCGATAAAAAAAGAAAGAATAATCTCTTCTCTTCTCTTCTTTCCATGAAATTCACCCAAAAATAACACGACTTACCTTACACAACAACAGCTATATTTTTTTTCCCACACTCTACAACCACAACATTAAACCCCCATAACACCCCCCCAAAGACAGCTGACTGGCACAATCGATCGGCGCCATTCCGATGCTCCCAATCCGATCGTCGTGATTAGGAAAAGCGACTGATTACTCCAAATGACTTTGCGCTGCGTTAATGAGGCGGTCTTGGGGGGGTCCCTTATTAAGCGTTGAAGAGTAATGTTTTAAGTCTTTGTTGTCTGATTTGATGAGATATGGATTCGTGAGGATTGGTGGCAGTGTCTTAATCGGATTATTGCGTGTCATTTTTATTGTTATTATTATTACCATCATCATCTTCATCATCTTCATCATCATCATCATCATCATCGTCATCGTCATCGTCATCGTCATCATCATCATCATCTTCATCTTCATCTTCATCTTCATCTTCACTTCATCTACATCTACATCATCAATCATCATCATCATCATCATCATCATCATTGCATTATTATTGTTGTTGTTTTGCTGTTGTTGCTGTTGTTATTATTATTGGTGTTGTTATTATTGTTATTGTTGTTATTATTATTGTTATTAATTTTTTTAAATTATTTTTATTATATTTCATATCATTTTTTACTGATTAGGTTTGGTGTTTAGTTTTTTTTGTGATTGCATTT